TACGCGCACGTCGTGCCACCGCCACATGTCCAAGTGGATCGATCCTAATCCTAACAAGGAGGAGTGGTGTGACAACAACTAAAGAAAAATAAGATAAAGAGTTAAAAGGAATAACGTATGCACGTATGAAGTGCTCTATTGAGGGGAGGGAGCAATACCATTAAATATGCATGAAAGATCTAGGGTAATATCGCTCCTCATCCCCAAATGCAAAGCGCGATACGATTAAGCAAATATTAGAAACAAAAGTAAATAAACAAACCAATCATCACATATATGAAGAACAAGGAACGAGTACGAGTGTGAAATGCAAAACATTCTAAAAAGAAAAAGAAAAAAAATGCAACTTAAGACATCTAAATATGATAAGTGAAAGGGTTAGAAAGAGAAAAGACAGCTAAATCAAGTGGTTGGACTCACTAACGTCCCCGGTAGAGTCACCAAGCTGTCGCACCCCATTTTTTGAAAGATAAGATTTAGGCATTTACAAAAGAAATGAATTTTTATTGAAAGGTGAGTGAAAAAATGCGTTTTTAATTTTGGAGAATAAATAAAGAAAAAGAGCCTATAATGAGACTTTAAAGAATGTGACAGTTTGGACCCAAAATTTAGTCTAAAACGGGTTTTAAGGAAAATAGGAGTTGCCACTTGGTATTGAGTTTGAGTATACCAAGTCACCCAAAATGTTTTTCTAACAAAATTTAAATAAAATTTAAAAATAGAATAAAATAAAACCCTTTTCGACAACTCAAGATTTTTTAAAACAAGAGAAAATGAGTTCGGAAGTCACGATTGAAGAAAGGGAAGGCAAATGTTCGATTAACTCAAGCCTAAGGCACATTTTCAATCTAGTCTAAGCTAATTGCGAGGTTTAGTCAAAAGTTTCCTAATCTAACCCTTAAATTTATCACGTTTGGATGATTCCTACATGGATGCAAATTTAAATTTATAAAAAGTATCGAAAAGGGCAAATTATCCATTCAAGAGTTTAATTGATACCAATCGCATTAATTACGAAAGCCAAAATAATTCCTTGAAGGGGGTCATGAGTATACGAATGATGAAATTAAAATAAAAGAAAATTAAATTAAATTATATATATAGGTATAAGTGATCAAGGGAAAACGAATGCAGCATAATGGGTATGGAAGGAAAAAACTCGTGACATAATTTTATTATATAGAGATTAATAGGATATTTAAACTAAAAAAGTTATAATCGCCTATATTCCATGTTCAAAGAGTAATGCTCCTAATCTAGACAAGCAAATGAACAAACTTATTTTTTATAATTTCTTAAATGAGGTGCAATTCTAAATGATATGATTAACACATATAGAGGGTAGAGGATAATATAATAGGAAATATTATGCAAATGAGAAAAGATCCTAAAATAAGAATATGCATGAAAATATAATGAATGTCACACAAAAATGAATCTAACACATGAACGATCTAAGGGTTTAGCGTTGGACTAATCCATTTCTAAAAATCCTTACTAGCGTTGGACTAGCAAGTAAGCGGAGGAAGAAATCACAACTAGCGTTAGACTAGTGTGGTGACGTCATGCATTCATGATATATAGTAAAACAAATAAGGCATACATTAAAGCAGTTAAACATAAAAGAGCACGTAGCACGTAACACATAAGCATAATATCTAGATGCAAAAATCCTAAGAAAAGCGGATAAAGCACATAACACATAAGCCATATAAACACGCAAAAACCTATCTATTACAGTGGGAAATCTAACTACAATCTAAAATGGGGAAATAAAAAATCCTATCTACTCTATCTATTACAATAAGGGACCTAATTACAATCTAAAATAGGAAAGATATGATAAAATAAACCTAGTTATCCTATCTATTACATTAGGCTATCTAATTACAATTTTTGTAAAGAATATTACCTATCTATTACATTTTGAGGTATTTAAATACCTCCGAAATAATTATAAAATTAACTAAACAAGCATAAAAAAATCTAAATGAACATTTGAATTAAATATAACAAAGCATGCAAATATATATAAACACATAGGATCATGTAGGAGCACATAAAGTATGTAATTGACATTTAAATAATAATAGGGGTACCTCCTTTTTGAAGTGGTGACTAAATGGAGTCAAATTGTCCTATTTGTACTCAAAATGAACAAAAGAATCATGACACCAATTTAATTGAAATTAATAATGATAATAGCAATAAAGGTACTAAATTCATGTTAATACGTTAAATATAAAGAACCTTAAGGCTATCTAAACATTACAAGTTAAATACATTCAAAAGTAACATAATTAGTTATTAAAGAAAATAAACAATCATAATAGAAAGAGTCAAAAAGTCACTAGGAACTAAATTGCAAAAATTAGAAAATTTTTGGGCAAAATACAATTTTTCAAAAGTTCAGGGGTCAAAATTGAACAAAAGATAAAATTCAAGGACCAAATTACAATTAAATGAAGGGCCTAATTGAAAGAAATTTAAAATTCTCTGAGCCATAGTAAAATTAATCGAAAGTTAGGGGCTAAAGTGAAAATTTCATTTTCTGATTTAGGCAAGAAAAAATCTGATCTGGGCTTCTTCTTTCTTTCTTTTTTTTGTTTATTCGGCCTGGGCCAAACCCTTTATAGTTCAAGAGAAAACACAGGCTATTCTACCAAAAATAGAACAAATAAGTCCAAGAAAATTTAGACAAGATTATCTATAATAAAACGTTGGGCTTAGCTCCAAAATCCAACCTTAAGTCCAACGGAAAAAAAAAACATAAGCCCACCAGAAACAATAAAAAGCCCAATTCGTCTTTCTTTATTTTTCTTTCCTTCTTCTCTTTTTTTTTCTTCCTTTTCTTTTGCTTTCTTCTTCCCCCCCTTTTGCTTCCATTTCTTCTTCTTCTTCTCGGGTCAACTGAAGCTCCAGCCACCGGCAATCATGGCAGCTGCCACCGGCGGCTTTTCGATTACAAAATTTCACCAAAATCCACCCCCTCACTCGATTATTCACGTACAATTCGTTTTTGAAGTTAGTTTTTACAAAAAATGACTCGAAAGTGGCCAAAATGCCAAAAAATAGCCCAATTTTTTATTTTTTTAAAACTATAACCACCACTAAAAATCATAAATTTTATACCAAAACACTCCTTATGATTTTTACAACATAACTATGAGTTGAAATCAATAAAAAGCAACAACAATATGGCAAAATTAAAATAAAACAGTCCAAAAATGAAGAAAAATTATTCAATGCTTCTAAAGTTCAAAACTTCAAAATGTTTGAGCAACCCCACGTTTTCAGGCCTTGCACTAACCATAATCATCTATTTTAACAAAAATATGCACAATAATGGGTACTTTAATTTGGTTTTCCATTTAAGCATTTTTTCAAATACTTGGCATGCATGCACAAAAAATATTTCCTTTTCCTTAATCTAGCTCAAGCCATTTCCCAAATTTTTAACAATACAACACAACAATGCAAGACAGCAAAAATTGGAGGAAATAAGCAACCAAATATGAATTTAATGTGAAAAAAAAACTGAAAAAAAGAAGAAAAAATACCTCTAGAATATTGCAGTCACTTGGTTGAGCTTTGTGGTGAAATTCCTAAACCTCAATGGTCTGACCGCTTGTTCCTCTTTTTGTTTGATTTGTGGATGGGTGTGTGAACTTAAGCGAGGCAAAGAGGGACCGAGAGTTGGGGTATTGGGTTTGAGTTGTTTGTGTTTTTGTTGGATGTTTTCCTTCTCTTTCTTTTGTGTAGTGTGTGATAGTTTTTTTTTTTTGAAGGTCCAAATTGAGAGAGAGCCGGGAGGGATAGAGAGGGCGAGAGATTCCTTTTGTTCCCTTCTTTTTTCTTCCCTTTTTGTGTTTGATGGTGTCTAGTACAAGTGTGCAAGTGCCGAGAGAGAAAAGTCAGGTTGTGAGGATAAAAGTGGAGAGTTGCTAATCCAAAAATGATGGTCTTTACCAAATGAAAAGAAAGGTGAATGGAAACATGGAGTGTGAAAATGGGTTAATAGTACATTTGGTGAAACAAAACGATTAGAATGATTTTTATTTTCTTGATTTTCTTTTTTTTTCTCTTCTTTTTTTTTCCTTAAAACCAACCTACAAAAATGAGAAAAAAATGCACATTAAAATACAAGAGAATAAATAACTCATAGATAAAATTCAAGAAAATATTAAAACTGACAAAATTTTGGTGTCTACAAGTTGTAATCTCTAAATCCCAAAACCGTGAATTAAAATTTAAACTCACAATATCTAATTCCCATAGACGAGAATTTTGTCTAATTTCAAAATATTGTGGTATTTTTGTGTTAGATTTAAGATTATTTTTTTGGTAGATATAATTGAGATTGAGATGAAATTTATTTGTTTTAACTTATAATTTAAAAATTTTATTTTTGAAATCCAAGTTCTTTGAAAATATTAAACTTTTCATCATATAAAGTTTTAAATTAGTCCATTGCATGTCTTCTTTTGTACATATATATATTTATATAAATTATATTTTAAAAAATTCATTGAGTCAGGATTGATTCGGTTCGATCCGTTAAACCATGACTCGAACATCTTATCGGTTCAACTAACAGTTGGAGTTTTAAAACATTGCACCTAACTGACATGAAACTGATCAAAGTAAGCAAAAACATGGGCAAGAAAGAAGCTAAGGCGGGCAACCCCCAACCGAGCTGACTAGAGTTTGTTAGTACTTGCTTGCAGTAATAGTGACCAAAGATAGGCCAAAGGAGAAAGAGTGGCTATTTATTGGGATAATATCAGAAACCTTCTCTGAGGTTTCTCCAAATGTCACTTAGCACTCCTTGGGTTTTAAAAATAACCACCTATCTCTCCTTTCATAAGTGCAAAATGACTATATAAACTTTCACTGAATACATAATTTGCATATCTAATAAATGGAACTCAAAAAAATTAAAGAAAAAGAAATAAAATTCACTTTCTTCTCTTTCTCCTTTCTCCAATATTTTCTCCTACTCATTGTTTTGGAGCTAGGATGTCAGCCACTTTGTTGGCTTCCCTAAAACAATGTGAAACCTGCGTAGGATCCGTGACTAGCCGCCATATTTGACGTACCTCCCTTCGAATGTGCCATGGACACTGGAACCTCTGTTGTAAAATACCCACTAGAACCAGCGAATCTGTCTGCACTCGAACCTGCTCAAAGCCTTGCTGGAAGTATAGGCGAATGCCCATTAAAAGTGCTAATGCTTCAGCGCGCAAGCTTGTATTGATCCCTAGGGAGACTGAGAATGCCACTAACACCGGACCATTTGAATCCCGTAGTATTCCAACCCCACCACTCATCCCTGGATTCCCCTTTGAGCACCCATCCGTATTAAGGGTGAAGGTCCCCCTCCCCGCTGCCTGCCACTTGACCAAATGGACCCGACATATTGGTGGTGACTGAGAGAGCCTGTAAAAAAACTGTTCAAAAGTCTGCGCTACAATCCCATGCTGAAATTTAATCTCAACCGCAGCAGAGATGTCCCGGAGAATGCCATGGCAAATCTCCCCACTAGTCAGTTTGACCCCTTTGAAGATTGCTTTGTTCCGTGCCTTCCAGACATGCCAATAGATGAAGCTTGGTAGAATGGAGACAACGAAACGTCTTTGAGGTTCCGAACGCCCGGACATCCACCAAGCAACCAATCTCTCTCGCAATGATACCTCCGGTAGACATATACCGCATGGGGATCCAAAGACACCCCAAATCTCTGCCGCTATTTGTCCCGTTGAGAAAATATGTTCAATAGAATCCCCAGCCGCCATGGAACAACAGAAGCAATTAGAAGGTAATTGAAAACCAAGCTTACCCAAGATATCATCCAAGGGGAGCCTCCGCATCAATAGACGGAGCATAAAGAATGAAACCTTTAGGGGGAGCTGGGGGAGCCAAATGTGGGAAAATATCCAAGAGGGGTTCCGAGCTTGCCTTACCTCATGAAAAGCGGAGGATAACAAAAACGATCCTGAAGTAGTTGACACCCACACCACCTCATCAGGGCTCTCACCCTCTGGGGTCGGATGCTGTAGGATCATAGTTGTGATATCCCTTGGGAAATATTGTGCTAGTCCCACCGAGTCCCACTTCCCATCCACAATAAAGTCTCTGAATGGGAATTTCATGGGTTTTAAATGGGATTGCAGCTTCCAAAGAATAAGAATGCCAATTCGTGGATAACATCCATATCTTTTAAATTTACACATATATTAACAATGTAGTGAATGTAACTCATTTATTCACACAACATTTTTAAAAAAATGGTCTGTAATGGATACGTTGAGACGGAGTTCAGGTGTTCATATTTTGAAAAAATAATGTTAATTACAAAAAACATATAAATACAAGATAGAGTAATAATTACTAATATGTAAATTCATATGATAGATGTGGTAGGATAGATGTGATTTAAGTGTACTGATGAGTGCCCATTGGGTACCCGTTAAAAAAACCCCAAAAAAAGGCAAAAAGATCTATGCTATTTTAAGCTCTTGATTTATCTGACTTGCCTTCATCACATATTTGAATAAACCATTAATGTGTAATAGTTCATACGTTTTAAGATTTACAACATAAGTTAAATTACGCGATTTCATATGTTCAAAACCTTACCATTAGAAAACTTAACTACATAAAGTGGATTATTATGGTAAAACAGAGTAAAATTTTTGTGAAAAGTATACATTGCTTGGAGGTTTAAAAGCAAGAAAGATTGTTGATTTGTTGTGTATTCTTGTGGTCCTTTATGCAAAAAGAACCTATACTCCATACGGGCCGTACTAGTCCTTTGCCATAAATGGTTATTCCACTCTAAATGGCATATTATCTCATTAAAAAGGAACTTCCTAACTTGTGCATTATTGTATTTAAAAGCATCATACAGTCATCAACTGCCTTTTCCACAGACAAGGACAAGAAAGCTTCATGAATTGCACTCATAGATAAAGGGATTAGTGCTGCAAACTATGTACAACAAAATAAAAGAAAAGGATATGTCCAAAAGCTAATCGAAATGCTTAAGCAGGCAATCTCAAATTTCCTTCTTGATTGGGGGCGTGGGGCTGGACCAAAATAGTGTAATACTTTTTAAACAAGTTGTAATTACTTCTTAATTGTTTGTACATACTTACAACAAAAGTGCAATATTTTGTTACGATTCATGCAGATTACATACATAATAATTGTGTATTTGGTATGAGATTTTACTAGTTCATATGGAGGCACAAGGTATTCAAAATGTATTACAACGGCCCCATTCCCATAATTTGTGCACATACATAGGGCAGAAAAGAGTCAAATGACATCACCATGCACTAGAATGTGCAACCAAAAGCTAAGATGATAGTAGTAGAAAACCTTGTTACATCAGAGACAAAAATAAAAGTTTGACGGACAAAATGTGAAACTCTTGGGAAGTATTTTTGGCTTCGTGATCATATGATGTGTTTTAGCCTACATTTTCAGAATCTCTAATTCAAGAAGTTCAAGTTTCATTTCTCAAATTATTTTCGTAGTGTAGATACCTTAGGTGAATAATTTTGATTGCTGGGCATGCCTTTTTTTTCTCCTTTTTTTTGGTGCAATTTGCCTTGGTTATGGGCATTGACCAAAAGAAAATTCCTGTAGTAGGCTTGAAACTTTTTAAGAGTTACAGTTTATGTCTTACTAAATTATGAAATGAATCTTACTATCATGACTGTTGTATCAATTTGGCAAAGAATAAATAATTGAAGATAATCAAGTAGACTGATATTAAGGGTTCTTTCTTTAGCAAGATTGTCACGCCTCGAGTCCGCACGCGCCATTCACGTGACATCCGTCGTATCTTCAAGTCCCACTCAAGGATACAAGGCAACATTGCACTAGACTAAATTTAGAAAGTACTAAGTAGTATAACTAAATAAAGTGCGATACAAATCTCAAATGAAAGGTAGTCTACGAGTATCCAATAAGTTCGTACATTTATTCTTTGGTCGAAACAGCATAAAAGGAAATAAATAAAACTAACAGCTAGAGGTAGCTAGGTTGCCAATTTCCATCCACTTAGAACTAATAAAAATCATCCTCAGGATCTTCCATGTAAATCAGCTCATACTTCTCAGAATCGACAAAAATTACAAAAATTGGGTTGAGCAACAAATCGTTCAGTAGATAGTATCTAAACCTCTGTTGGACCATGCAGCCATAACTCTACATATACATATATACATATAAACCAAACTATTTGCACATTGTTCACATTCATAATAATTGAAAACAACTTTATTTGTAAAACAATTAGTAACAAAGAGTGACATCGCAATTGGTAAACATCTTATTTATAACCGTACATCAAAGTCATAAAGTGATAAGTCATTTCATATCAACTCATAACAAGTACATGCAATGACCGACTTCTGAGTATTCAGCCTAGAGATTGAACCCCTTCTAGGTGGGTGACCAATAGGTTTCATGACTACCGATGGTCTCATTACATACATGAGTCAATCAGTCGGATTCTATACCAGGCTACCATGACCTTAGGCAGAACTATAGCCCCTACCGTCTATTCCTTGACTGTTTTGAGTTTTACTTGATATAAATTCATTTTACACGTCACATGCATAGTTCTTGATTTCATAAAAGTTACAGCTCATTTGGTATATAATAACATATCAAAATGTTTCAAATAAGTCACATGGTCCATCTTTGTATAGTAAAAATAGAACTCGCATAAATATTCAAGTAAATTATTTAATCAAATATATTTCAAGTTAACACATCAAAATATGATTGATAACAAAAATTGCACTTTGCACTTTTGAAATCTCAGAAGGGTAAGTACCACCTATCTTTGTCTGACTACTCGAGTGAAACTATCTTAGATCCTTTAAACTTGTGTCGTACCTATCAAATGCATAAGTTTCCTAATTAGTTGATATTTCTTATATGCATAAATATAAAAACTCTGATCAAGTTTAAGATTCATGTCTAGACCACTATATGAACCCTAGCAACGTTTTCCTAAGTTGGACGGCTTCTTTTTTTGGAAAGTTTCTTAAATTGGAAAGTTTCTTAATTTAAACAGCTTCTCTTTTTGTAAAGTTTCTTAATTTAAAAGAAAATAATTATTTATAATCATATTTATTATCTTGACTATTGTCTTACTATACATATATATATTTTTATTATTTTTTTATTATTCAGTATAATTTTTACTGTCCTTGTCATCACTATTTTATTTTATTACCATTTTTATATATTTGTTAATTGGCTACTATTATTTTTTGCTTTACTTTCACTTTTACGTATGTGTAGTTGTTATTGTTATTATTTATGTATATATGTGTATATATATTGACTTATTATTATAATTATTGTTTTAGTTTATTCCACTTGTATTTATATTTTCATTTTATTTTTCGTTTATATCTTTAATTTATTTCATCCATATCTATATTGTTATTATTATTACTATTATTGTTAGTGTTATCGTTAGTATTATTATTGTTATTGTTATTATTATTATTATTATTATTATTAGGATTTTAAGCATTTCGTTTAACAATCTAGGACTTATCTTACGTTGTATAAATTTATCTAATAAGGTTAGATTAAGGTGATTTAGATTTCCATTTAAGTATCTTAAACTAAATTAATTAAGTATAAGCTTAAATGACTAAATCTTTAAACTCCAAAAATTATCTTTAGTTTGGGTTTGAAATTTAATTCCTATGTTAGTCCATAAAAGATGACCTAATCATTTCTAAAATTTATCTATTGAATATTGGATTAATCTTTTCTACACTGTCAGCATTGGATGAATAACAACTACGCAAAATTTAAATTTGAAATTCAACTTTTGCACACATGTCATGAATCCAACGGTGATAGTGTATATAAGATTTACTCTTGAATATTTACCAAACCCATACTATATTTCTAACCCAAATATACTCACCATTATATTCTTTTTTTTTTGGGACCTAAATAACGATCCAAGGTTCTGACCCAAGCATTTTCTTATTTCTTCCAACCTTTAGCCTGATACTCCTTTACCCTTGGCCCAACTTCCAATTAAACAAGCCCATATACAAAACCTAACCATCTCTTGACCTAACCCATCAACAACAACAACAAAATAGCCGCTGCCACCCCCGCTTTTTTTTTCCTTGGCCAGCTCCTTGCCTAGCCCTTTCGTTTCTTGTCTTCACCTGACGTTGCCAAAGCTTTTGGTCAAGCTTTGGCAGCGGCGCAATTCTTGACTACTATTTTTTTTTTTGTTTCTGTCTCGCGTTGCTAAAGCTTCACGTTTTAGAAGTTTCAGCAATAACGCCGCCAACAGCTTCCTCTTCTTTCTTTCTTTTTTTTTTAACTTTTCAACAGAATGAAGATTTAAACTTTATTCTAGCGCATAGCCAAGATTTAACACCCTATTCCTATCAATCCAAATATAAATCTTCCTAAATTTCTCGTACAGACAGAAATATATCGTAATGTGCATATACATAAAATCTTTAAAAATAGTTCATGGAATTAATACGACTTAAGAGAAAAGAATTTTAACGTGCGTTCGAAACTTACAGGTCTAGGCGCTTAATTGTCTGTTTATCTGACAGAAACGTCTTCTTCCTCTCCTCTATTTTTAGTTGCTTCTTGCTTTAAGAGGAGACAGACAAATAAGAAGTAGGAATGGTGTTATTTTCCCTCTGTTGTTTTGATAAAAGTTCTAAACCCTAATAACCACCCACCATTTGGTGGTTTAGATAAGAGTTTTAATTTGTTGTGAACTCTTATCCTATCTTATCTCCTTCCTATCCCCCACTTAACCCTTTAACCTATCCTACAATTATTTTTAATTTTTACCCATGACAATTTACCATTTAATTAATTCAGTAAAGTAAAAATTGAGAAGGGGTGTGGGTTTTACATTAAGGATGTATGCGACCCGAACTACTCGCGAGTCCTAATGTACGCGAGCCGAGCTACTCGCGAGTAGGTCAATGGCTTGGCTTGAACTCGGTCAAACCGAGTCTCGAGCTACTCGAGTACACATTCGAGTCGAGTTCGAGTCAGAATGTTGTAGCTCGTGGCTACTCGTTGAGCCATATAATTTAAATAATATATATAATTTAAATAATATATA